TTTACGCTCAGCCTGTTTGTATGTTGAACTTCTTTCGCACCGACCGTAGCCAACCGCGCTAATCGAAGGTGCGGAATTGCGTTGCATTCTTAGTGGGAATCAGCATCAGTTCCAACGTGCAGGGATAGTAGTAACGTAAAGATGCATACGGTGCAAGCCCCCGCAATTGTTCGCTATGCTCGCACGGCTGGGAGGGCATCCTGGTTGGGAGGGACATCGACTCGTGCGAGCTCTATAGATCGTATTTGGTCTCCTCTGTCACGCCGACCAGACGTGTTGTAAGAGGCGGGATCACCTACACTTTACCGTGCCAGCAGGATAACCTGCCGATCAACTGACTGTGGTGCAGCGGGGGGGATTTAAAGACTGCCGTGCCACGGGTGATGTGATCAAACAGGCGAACCTCCTGTTTGCAGTGTGCTAAGCATCACGCCGCAGCAACTGTGGTTAGCACAGTGGACTTGCAATCCAGAGGCCGCCGGTTCAAATCCATCTCCCAAAACGGCCCCTTAAATATTAATAATTTACAGGCCTTTATTAATGCACGGCTCAATTAAGGCCTCCCCGTGCCTATACGGATTGTGGGGATTATTTGACCATGCGTTACCATGCTTGTCGGTGCGGGTTGGTGAGGGTGTAGAGTATAGACTCGGTGGCATATAAGTATAGTACAACAATGGCTTTTGTACAACAATGCACTACAATCCAGTGCACACCACATAGCCCCGTGGTCTATGGACAAAAACCGCTATTAATGTATGCGGTCACCCTTCCAAACTGCTATGCAGGTTCAACACTGCTTAGCTTACTCTTTGGTTCTTTCGGTAAAGTCACGTAGGTATAAAATAAAATAAATCACGACGTTTCGGGCGCAACACACAAGCGTCCGTCATCAGGTGGGAAAGCATGGTCTGCTTAGCTTGCGTGATCCGCGGAGATCGGGAATATTCCAGGCGACTTGGTCACAGACCAGTTTATATGTTGTATTTATATTGTACAACAACAACCGCCATTCGCCACTAAGTGGCGGTGACGTCACCACGACGCTTGTGCCAGGCCATGTGCACCTTGAGGCCACGTGAAGTGTCGAACGCCCGCTGGCAGGAGGTCACGGGGCAGACCCAGGTGCCACGGGTCGACTGACTGAGATGACTGGCCGATGCACCACCTGTGCCCCCTACTGTGCCAACCTGCTGTGCCCTAGTCACCCGGCGCTCCGCTCGTTGTTGTGAGCATCGCTCCTCCGCTCTCCGTTGTTGTTGGAGGGCGACTGTCTCCAACTGCCCAGTAGCATCCTTCACGAGCCTTCTCCACAGCGGCCGATCTTGACACCGCTTGTACCAGTCATCGGCAAGTCCACTCAGTTCCACGTCCTTCTGTACCACATCACTCCATCTCTTCTCTAGCCCGTGCCGCGCCCGTTTAGCCCCCTCGATCCGGCCGAACAAAAGCTGTTTCGGCATGCGGTGGCTGGGCATGCGGGCTACATGACCCAGCCAACGCAGCCTTGCCTGCCGGAGGAGCTCACCGATGGGACCGTGCCCAGATCTTTCAAGGATTTGTGAGCTCCTCACACAATCCAGCCTGGTTAAACCCAGGATGGATCGTAGGCAGGCCAGCCTAAATGTTTCTAACCGGCGAAGATGTTCCATTTAGGGGGCTCCACGTTTATATTGTACTAATCCATTGAATACCGACATCCGTTTTAACGCATTGCGTTTGTTAATGTCTATGCGATATTGCTCTGTGATATGATTTGTCAATCCACGAGTTTATGGTATTTCCCATGCAAGTATGAATCGGGCTCAATGCTGCTAAGCTTTCGAGATCCGACAAGATCAGGCAAATTCAAGGTCATCAGGTCGCAGCGAAACTTGGCCGTTAACGGCTCCATACCTTCCGTAGGTTAAACATTTAAGTAATTTCCTTTTAAAAATAATTAAATGTTACATAGTGTAATTCATGCTCATTGCATCCCATAACGCTGTACATTAATTATATATAAGGACTAAATGCTGTATACAACGACTACCAAGCAAACGAAATCCCTACTGCCAAGCAAAATGTAAAATGAATAAACAAGTAAAGGAATGGTTTATATGTATGATGGTCAGTTCACCAATGATTGTGCTGTGGAGCAATCGGTTCCAGTATAGGAATGTGGAATATTCCACGACTCAGTAAGGATCGTCAATGGAGAGCACTGTTAAATAAAAAAAATCTGGTTAAGTTGTTGGGCTATTTTTAAATAAGTAATTTAGGGTGGCTAGCCCTCTGATTTATTTATATATTCACTTCCTAAAGAAGCTCCCAGCACGTGGCGCGAAAGGTAAGACGTTATCAGGAAAAACGCACCGTACAACCTGAACACATACTGGAGAAGACATACAGCTCAGGTGCGAAGAGCTACACGGTGATTGAACATGGCCTTCCGACAAATGACATCAAGTGAATGTGATTATTTGCGTCAAAAAAATTATAAATGTTGGACGCGATGCCGAAAACTCCTCAAATAAACTGTTCTCTATGCCGAGTATTATCATACGATCCTGAACAGTGGACACGTTTAACGCATTTTATATACTGTAGAGCTGAAACAATGAGTCGATTAAGTCAGACAGAAACTTAGCCTTTATTTCAGCCGGTGCTCTAATGCCCACTGAGCGAAGCAGCCCCATTATAAGAAGAACAAAACAACCCAAGACCAGAGTTACATGACATTGCAACGAGGGAATGTGCAAACTAACCAAGACCTAAAACTAAAAATTACCGACATGAAACTTACTCTCTGGGTCTTTTGGTTAAAGTCACTTGGATAGAAAATGAATATATCACGACGTTTAGATCGCAACCCAGGCAATCGTCTTCAGGTGAGAGTGCCTTTCCCGTGCAAGTGTGAATACGATTACTCTTTGGTTCTATTCGGTAAAGTCACGTAGGTAAAAAAAAAATAAAGTCACCTACGTGACTTTACCGAATAGAACCAAAGAGTATGGATCCTTGCAGTCACGAAAGCTTCATATCTAGTATGAATACGATTGCATGTGTTGCGATCGAAAGGTAGTGACCTATTATTTTTCTAAGTACGTGACTTTACCGAAAGACCCAAAGAGTATGAATTCCTACAGTCACGAAGGCTTTAAATCAAGACATGAAACTTGCCAAAAAATGTACTGCAAACAGGATAAGCAATAAATAGTGCTTAAATACTCAAATAATGGACACATTGTGATCAACTACACTTTTTTGGTGGATTAAATCGGACCCCGGCTGGACAAGAGTGGCGCTCTCACATCCCGAAGGCAGGAATGCTCCCCGAAAGCCACGCCCAGAGAGAGTGATGCGGTTTATGACGCTAATGATATCACCAAGCCCCGCCCACAACCATTGTATTGTTATCCATTTAGTGGGGTGATCAAATCGTTCGAGTAACCAATAATCGTAAGTGATGATCGTCACAGTAACCGATTGGATATCCTAGCTCGAAATGTTATGGGCTCGAGTAAACATCACGTGACAAGTTGACATTTCTGAGAAACGGTTTTAGTGTTTATCTTTTGGCAGTCCTTGCAATGACATCCTCCGATAAGGTACACTGTGTTTCTGACTTCCGAGTGTGACTGTTGGTCCTACGGAACACGGGGGTGACTCGATGTGATTCAAGGAAATTGGGAAGATTTTGACTAAATTTCAACCTGGCACCACGCTCTCTGTTCTTGTAAGTGGCTCCAATGGCTTCCTAATATCGGGAGAGCGTTCCAAGTACGCAACGCAGTGATCGTCTTTGTTCGATGATTAGCCACAAGCCGCTGCGAGGATGACCAGAGTTAGCGTGATGATTTATGATCCTTGACGGTTGATGGCCCCATCAGACCATGCCATTCGCGGTTGTTGTTTGACTATGCTTCACCACGCTTGGTCAATATATGTTGGTGCCCAGCACCAGCGCAGACAGCACTCGCCGCTGATGTTAGCCAAGACTGTGAACAGAGCTCAGCTGGTGGACTCGTTTCACAGGTCAGTGCGCTAACCACTGCGTCCACCGCTCCACCTGGCGTTTAATTATTACTAGCCATCTTGTCAATTCACTGCCGGACGAGGCTTCCCTCATGCTGTGACGGGCATAGGGGTTGTGAATCCACACTTCACCCAGTGCGGCATGTATATGTCACACACACACACACAAACATCAATTTAACTTACACCCTTATTATGATTTCATATCTTGCGTATAATCACATCGGCACGTACGCATTGCTCCAAAGTGCAGATCGCACGCACTCTTCATTGCAGGTTGGCTATTTACATAAATTGTATTTGTGAATCTATTTTCTGGGAGGCAGTTTGCAGTTTCCGACCATTGTTTTTCAAAATTAGACGACGCACCCCCACCCCTCCACACCCATCATCGCGCGTTAGCGTTTGTGTCGCCTGTGCGTGTGCAGCTTGAACGCGATTCGTGTTTTATTGCAGGAAATCGTGACACACGACGCTTGCAGAGACAACGGTCGGGTCTCGTTCCCTTGCCCCCCCCACCTCCCAATCCTTGATTTATTTCATTTGGCCAACGTCCCCAAGTTAGTCTATGCCCCTCCCAACCCAACCAAGTGCGTGTACGAGACATCTGTAATTACACGGCTCCAAGTGGCGCTGGGTTGTGGTTCCTCTCGAAAGTCTCAGGATCCAACGGGGCCCCCCTATGCTCGTCAAGGGCTCCAATGTGAATCAACTACTCAATAATAACCGCGTTGCACACACCTACGGTGTGCGATGTACGGCACCCTGTCAATCCACTGCTGGATGAAGGCATTACCCTCCCGCCACGCTCACCGACCTACAGTGACCAGTGTGGTGAAGTATGGTCAAATAACTCGCAAGATCACCGACACGGCGTGGGTCATGTCTCAAGCAAGCATTTGGTTGAAAGAGTACTTTAGATTATTATTCATAACGATGATGATGATGATAACAAAAAAAGATTACACAATTCTACGACTTACCTTGCACGTGCCCTCTCAGCTTTGGCCACGGCCGCTTGTCTGTGCTGTCCAAAAGGCGGTGTTCGTTTTGCATGGTGAGGTGAGTGGTGAGTTGAGAGGTGAGTCGAGTGGCAGGTCGAGTGGTGAGTTGAGAGGTGAGTCGAGTGGCAGGTCGAGTGGTGAGTCGAGTGGTGAGTCGAGAGGTGAGTCGAGTGGCGAGGTGAGAGTTGAGTCGACTGGTGAGTTGAGAGGTGAGTCGAGTGGTGAGTTGAGTGGTAAGTCGAGTGGGCGTGTGGAGAGGTGAGAGGCGAGTCTAGTGGTGAGTTGAGTGGCGAGTCGAGTGGTGAGTCGAGTGGTGAGTCGAGTAGTGAGTCGAATGGTGAGTTGAGTGGCGAGTCGAGTGGTGAGTTGAGTGGTGAGTCGAGTGGTGAGTTGAGTGGCGCGGCGAGTGGTGAGTTGAGAGGTGAGTCGAATGGTGAGTTGACTGGCGAGTCGAGTGGTGAGTTGAGTGGTGAGTTGAGTGGTGAGTCGAGTGGTGAGTTGAGTGGCGCGGCGAGTGGTGAGTTGAGTGGTGAGTCGAGTGGTGAGTCGAGTGGTGAGGCGAATGGTGAGTTGAGTGGCGAGTCGAGTGGTGAGTTGAGTGGTGAGTCGAGTGGTGAGTTGAGTGGCGCGGCGAGTGGTGAGTTGAGAGGTGAGTCGAGTGGTGAGTTGAGTGGTGAGTCGAGTGGTGAGTCGAGTGGTGAGTTGAGTGGTGAGTCGAGTGGTGAGTTGAGTGGTGAGCTGAGAGGTGAGTCGAGTGGTGAGTTGAGTGGCAAGTCGAGTGGTGAGTTGAGAGGTGAGTCGAGTGGTGAGTTGAGTGGTGAGTTAAGTGGTGAGTTGAGAGGTGAGTCGAGTGGTGAGTTGAGAGGCGAGTCGAGTGGTGAGTTGAGTGGTGAGTCGAGTGGTGAGTTGAGTGGCAAGTCGAGTGGGCGAGTGGAGAGGTGAGAGAAGAGTCTAGTGGTGAGTTGAGTGGCGAGTCGAGTGGTGAGTTGAGAGGCGAGTCGAGTGGTGAGTTGAGTGGTGAGTCGAGTGGTGAGTTGAGTGGTGAGTTGAGTGGTGAGTTGAGAGGTGAGTTGAGAGGTGAGTCGAGTGGCGAGTTGAGAGGTGAGTCGAGTGGTGAGTCGAGTGGTGAGTCGAGTGTTGAGTTGAGTGTTGAGTCGAGTGGTGAGTTGAGAGATGAGTCGAGTAGACCGCTGAGTAACGAGTCCCGTCTATCTGGTGAAGAGTCGTAACGCAGTCCCAGCACTGGAGTCAAGAGGCTCACGCAGGAAGGGAGAGAGAAAGGGGGGTGGGTGGGAGGTAATGTGGAGCGGTTTCACTCGCGGCCGCTGTGAGTTTCAGTCCACGGGGCTAGGTCATTCAACACTGGGACTCCGGCTCTAACGGGTTTTATCCCAGCCCGGGCGGGCTTTTATTAACATGATGCGCATAGCAAACAGCCGAGGCTGGAACGCAGGTTCTTTTTTTTGTATTATTCAAGGTGACACACGGGACCTGTAACGGACGTGGCAGACAATAAATACGTGTACGTTTAACCCAAGCCGGAGCCCCATTGTCATCACAGCTCGTAGCAGCAGCAGCAACGCGTCCCGCGTTTAATAATGAAGGAGATTTGTGATCGATTCATTTAATCAGATTAATTATTTTCCCGCACTTTGTCATTCAGGAGCAATAAAACCGAGGGTAATGGAAAGAAAATCACTTAAGCCCTTAATTCTGCGTGTCGCTGGTTTGTAGAGTACACTAAACAAGACGTAAATAGCTGGTGGAGTAGTGGCGCAACTTGTAAGCGCACAGCGCTGTTGACAATAGAACGCGGCTCACCCACGTTCTAACATTAGTGGCGAGTGATATCTGAACCAATTCTGAGACCCACTCGCCCTGTCCTTCACCAACACACGCTGACCAGCGCGGTGAAGTATGGTCAAACAACACCCTTGATGACGACAGGGCGTTGGAAGGCCTCCATCCAGCAGTGGATTGCCAAAGGGGCTGTACATTATCGTGATTATAAACAGAGAGAAAAAAAAGGGAGTCGCAAGGTACATCTGCATGTGTGTGCTGCAGAATGGAAGGCTGAAAATGTAGCGCCCAATAAAATTCTGAAATTGAACAACGTGAACAAATGAGCAAGACTAATACATATCCGTCCGTTCACATGAAGTATAAATGTGTTATTTTTGTACACCTCCCAAAATCCACACGGCCTTCTGGGAGTGCGTAATTTCAGCAGCATTGGTTCAACACAAGCAACACTCTGCATGAACCGGCTTCAACATTCAGTGTCTCATCAGCAGTCTTTCTGGCTCGAGCTGGTGTGACCTGCCAGATGTTATAAACAAGGGTCCCTCTCTCTTAGAGATGGCTCCTCTATACGTTCGATGCAACGCCTGATAATTATACACAACACAAAATAGCAATCATGTATTTCACGTGGACAATTACACGCGAGGTAAGTGTAACGAGGTGATCGGAATATATTACATTTTGATTTAAAGCTTTCGTGACTGCAGTGATTCATATTCTTGGGTCTTTCGGTAAAGTCACGTTGAGGGGAAACAATAAAATAATAAAATATATAGAAAAGACAATAAAATCCTCACGACGTTTCGACTGCAACACAAGCAGTCATCATCAGGTGTGAAAGCCGTTTTATTGTTTTTTTTTAATTTATATTTTATTATTTTATTGTTTCCCTTCAACGTGACTTTACCGAAAGAACCGGAATATATTAATTTACATTAGAAATAAACCTATTAAAAAAATCCAATTCGTAACATTAAGTGCGAACAAGTGTCAATTGTCTTAACAATACAATACAGAACAGCATTGCAATTACGATTAAATAGAACAGACCGTGCAACGTGTAACGAGGGAATCCCCGATTCACAAATACGAAGGAGACACCACCACAGCGATACACTGCGTTGTTCATAACGCCGTTAGCTAATGGCTTGACCACCTGAATGTGAAATGAAAGTTGTTGCTCTGCATCTACATCAGCAGCCGTACGAAAGAAGAAGAAGAAGATGATTATATCTACACTATCGTGCCATTTACTGTTGGATGATGACTCCCCGAACCCGTGCCGAGCCGTCTTTGTACAGCCATTCACCCTGTGGAGTGCCGCTGCAGCAGCCATCGTCATATGCCGAGTGACGTTATGTATGGCGTCCTTCGGACGTAAGGATATAAGTCTGGGAATTTACGAGGCCTCTTCGATCGGCCTGTGCGCTATGAGCCCTGCCACCTGAGTTACTACTGCGGTGGCTAGGAGATGTTAACTACCTCGCCTGGTCTACAGGAGGTCGTGGGTTGTATCTTTGTGTCTCTCTCTCTCTCATCATCATCACGGTGGCTAGGAGATGTTAACTACCTCGCCTGGTCTACAGGAGGTCGTGGGTTGTATCTTTGTGTCTCTCTCTCTCATCATCATCACGGTGGCTAGGATATGTTAACTACCTCGCCTGGTACACAGGAGGTCGTGGGTTGTATCTTTGTGTGTCTCTCTCTCATCATCATCACGGTGGCTAGGAGATGTTAACTACTTCGCCTGGTATACAGGAGGTCGTGGGTTCGATCCCGACCCTGACGCCTGTTGTATATTTCGAGTTTGCGTGTCTCTCTCTCTCTCTCTCCCCGTGGTCGTGTGGATTTTTCTCCGGGTCTCCGGTTTTTGGCATTCCGCATTTAGAAACAACATGCGTTTAGACTATTTGGCTGCTATGAAATGTCCACGTGATCAGGGGGGGGGGGGGGGGTCAGACATTTGTGACGATGTGTGACGAGGGGGGCGGGGGAGGTTTGAGAAATGTGACGTCACGTAAAAATGCGCAACTTAAAAGAAGTATAGACAACACGTTCTACTTAATAAAATATACTTTTAAATACATATTTTCTCCTACAACATCAGAGTGCAGCGGCACATTAAATACGCACTACAATGACAATAGTTTAAAGCGATTTGAAGCATGTTTTATTTTAGGGGAGGGGCAGAGCTTTGTGACGGCATATTTGAGGGGGGGGGGTCTGACTTTTTGTGACGCCGTGTGACGAGGGGGGTCAAAAATCGTCCAAAATCGTATGACGTCATTTATGGACGGCCCCTATAAACCCTCAACGCTTTCGTCAATAACACCGTGGCCTTTAAATGACGCAATCTTCATAGCTCCAGCTGCGCTTGAGATCGATTCCGGGCCGGTTGTGAGGCTTCTCTCGAGTGCCTGTCGCGGTGTGTAAACATCAGCACTGGAGAGAGACAAAGGTGGCCGGGCGTGGTTCCCAATATCGCCACACCACTCCCTCTCGCTCCGTGCCCGCATTAATAGGTGCTCGCTAACAGCAGTTGCTCCAAAAGTCCATGAAAAGGTTGCACGGGGGAGCTTTGTATTTTTTTTATGGATGTAAATGCGCATAATCAGTCGAAAGTATAAATGTACTGTACATGTAATTCAACTGTGCTAGCTTCTGAATGTTGTGTTTTTAAACATTAATAAGACCTTAACTGCTATAGCGAAACAGGTTAATTTGAATAGGTCGGTAGGCATTTAAACCCTTCATCAACCCGCAATGGCCAGAGTGGTGAAGTATGTCCCCACCCATGATCGATAAGTCGGGGGGGGGGGGGCAGCCTTCATCAATTTGTGGATTGTGAGTGGCTAAAAACTCCACATTTTCCTGAACGCTGCTAGGCTGACTTGGAGTTGGGAATTTTCGGCGTAAGGCACTACCACTACAGCACAAAGTACGCCTTGCGCGTAATGCTATTTCAAATAAACTTACCACATTCATGAACACTGCCAGAGCGCAGTGAAAAATGGCCATTGTCTGAAACGTCGCCTATTTTATAGCTGACCTTTCATGGCGGTGTTATCGATGCGTCGGGTTCTGTCGTTACTTCTGCATATGCAATGCCGTCTTCTACCTGTGCGGTGGGCACGTCCGGGCTATCTGCACATGGATCGCGTTAACGACGACGGCGGCGATGACGATTCTACCTTCAATTAAGCACTAGCCTCATCCATTCTACGCAAGATTACATCGTGACGCAGACAAGACACATTTCTGACCTTCTACTTTAAAAGAACAACTCCTTGTGTTATCGTCTGTAACAATGGGCATAT